TGCATCCATGCACCCATTCATCCATCCATGCATCCATCCATCCATCCATACATCCATCCATCCATCTATGAATCCATCCATCCAACCATGCACACATCCATCCAAGCATCTTTCCATCCATCCATCCATCCATCCATCCATCCATCCATCCATCCAACCATGCACACATCCATCCAAGCATCTTTCCATCCATCCATCCATCCATCATCTTCCTCTTGTTCAGGACTCAGGTCTCGAGGGCAGCATCTTGAGGAGGGAGGTCCAGGCATCTCTCTCCACAGCCTCTTTCAGCTCTTCTGGGAGGACTCCAAGGTGTTCCCAGGCCAACCGAGAGACAAAGTCTCTCCAGCGTGACCTGGGTCTTCCCCAAGGTCTCCTCCCAGTCGGACATGCCCGAAGCACCTCCATAGGGAGGCGCCCAGGGAACATATTGAAAACTGAAAACATACTTATTTAAAAGGGCTTTTAATGTTTAACTATTAATAGTTTAGTATTTATTTATTTATTTTATCTCTTTTACCTTCTTTTATTTTCGCTGTGTTTTTAATTTGCACAGATTTATTGTGTCCTGTTTTTAATCTTGTTTTATCTTGTAAAGCACCTTGGTCAATACAAGGCGTTGTTGGAAGGTGCTATAGAAATAAAGTTTATTATTATTATTATCCTTACCAGAAGCCCAAACCACCTCAACTGGTTCCTCTCGATGTGGAGGAGCAGCGGTTCTACTCCGAGTCTCTCCCAGATAACTGAACTCCATGATGCCATAGGCAATGGCTGAAGGCGGGGGCTTGGTGCTCTGACCCTGTCTTACCAAAGCTGGCTCTTGACAATGCTAGGCTTGTAATTCTAAAATGCTTTTATTTTGCTGTGACTCTGTTGGTTTCACAGTGAAATATTTTGAGTAATATTGACCTGTAGCTTCCAGAGCTTTGGTGATCTGGCGCAGAGAAAAACCCATCTCCAGCAGTGGCACAGCAATGGCAGGAGGCGGGGGGGATGTGGACAGTCTGCTGCTGGGGTCTGATAGAGCTAAAATCAAAAAACACAAGAAAAATTGTTTCTGCTGAGCTCTGTTGTTCTTCAACATGTGATCCTTCCATGCATGTACTCACAGGTGCCAGCTCGGTTTTGTGTTCTGGTGGGTTGAGAGTCTGGCGAGGTGAGACTCTGCCTGCGGCCCACCTCATCTGATGGAGACGTTGGCAGAGATGACACAGGCGGAGTCTGGGCCCGGCGAGTTGGAACCAGGGTGGTGGGGTAGCTGGAGAACATTTGCCTGTCAGACCACACAACAAAGTATTAAACCTATATAAAAACAAGGCTTCTTGTAAACGACAGGTGTCTCTTCTCACCTGAGGAGGCTGAGAGGCATGACGCCTGGAGACTCAGAGGCGGGGGCGGTCTCGGTGTCAGTGACAGGTGTAGTAGCTGTGGTGGTGTCCTCCAGTGACGAGCTCATGAAGGAGGTGGTGCTAGAGGCTGAGGGACTAGTAGTGATGGGAGTCTGAGCCAGCTGCTCACCATCTGGGCCCTCCCCCACACCGTCAGGCTCACTTCTCACCCCTAAAGGAGATTAAAAAAGAAAAGAAACTTTCCATCTCTGAAGTAAACTGTGATGTCATAATTTGTTAAAGAAAACGGAATGAAGTAACAAACAAGGGCCATAACGCATCATAAAATAAATTATTTTGGGTTTGTTGGGTTCCTGGAAATGTGATTTGATTCAAACGTTTCTGGTTTCAGGTTGTAATTATTACAGAGGATTAATGCTTTTGCTCCGTTCTGTTGCTTCTCTGTACCTTTAGCAAAATATTTCGTGAACCACTGAACGGATTTTAATGACACTAGATAATCAGTGGCTGTTCATCTAAAACTGATTACGTTTGGAACTAAACCCAGTTTAAAATGGCCTACAGCTAGCTGACCTAAGTAAACACCAACACTGCTACAATCCAGTCCATTTTACAGATGTGCTCAAATTTGATGTGGAACGGAGTCATTCACAACACACACAGTACACACACAGAGCAACACACTGTGTGACAACTTTGCTAAAAACATTGGCATTTATTTACTTACACGATGTACATCTGCAACTAATTCACTTTTAGAGTCAACCAAATTCAAGATGGCTTGGTACAGCTACCCAATGTTAGCTAGTGCAAAACAGACTGCACCTTAATCAGCTGTCCAGATAAATGTGGCATGGTATGAGCAGCCAGTCCATCACAACACATACTCCAACCACGAACAGGTCACATGACGTCTTGAATTCCTTCAAGAAATGCTCGGCCTTTAATTGTGTGAATGTTTATCAAGCGATCAATCTATTGTCAGACGTTTTTCTTCAGTACGTTTTTCAGCACGATTCTCGTGCCACAGTTTTCAGCTATTTCAACAAATCATAAATCAAAACGTTCAGCTCTTTCGGGACAATCCTGGTGCAACTTTAGCTTTTTGAAATATTTAGCTTTTTCTGTCATTTTTTTCTCATAGAAAATGAAATGAGCTCATTTTACATCTTCAGCACTTTAGATGTGTTTACAACCTTTCACTGCTCCTTTCACATTTTGTTCTGCTTCAGCTTCTTTCAGTTTCCTTCTGCAAATTTAAACTTTTAATTCTGTTATTTTTCAGAAGTTTATTCAGCAGTTTTGTGCTCCTTTCAACTTTTCTCTGCTAATTACAACATTTTTGCGCTACTTCTAACTTCTTACTGCTACTTTCAGCTTATTTCTGAAAGTGTCCGCTTTTTCTACTATTTCACTACTTTTAATCTGTTTTTATGCTAATTTAAGCCTTTACAGCTAATTCCACATTCTTTTTAAATTCATTTAAACTTTTTTCAGCCTAATTCAGAAAAAATGTACTCTCCACTTACTTCTGGTAATTTCAGCTTCTTTCTGCTTTTTTTTTTTTTTAGCTCATTTTCATCTGTTTATTTATTTGTTGTTGCTAATTTCTACTTTTTTTCAGCTAATTTCCACTTTTTGAGCTCATTTCTGCTTCTTTCAGTTTAACTGGGCAAAAGTTTTTTCTGCTTTCTTCTGCTAATTTAAGCTTGTTCTACCTTTTCAGCTACATTTTTAGCATGTTTACCTAATTTTAGCTGTTTTTAGATAGTCGGTTTTTGGTGGTAATTTCTGCTACTTTCATTGTCATTCATTTCTTTATGCTAACTTCAGCTTTGTCTGCTATTCAGCTACCACTTAGCCGTTTTATGCTAATTTTAGCCTTTTCAGCCAATTCCATATTTTTTAGCTCATGTCAGCTCTTTCCACTTTCTTCTGGTAGTTTAAGTTCATTTTTCACTTCCGGCGAGCTGATGGACAGCAGCTCCCTCCGGCTTCTCTGCAGTCTTTTTTCATCAAACTGACCCGTTTTTCGAACCGGACTAAAGTTGGTCCTCCTTCCAACCGAATTCGGTGTTCAGTGACTCAGAGAGCCGGACGGGACCGTCCAAAAAAAAAAAAATATATATATTTTGGCCCAGGACCGATCGGCCGCTCCCCCCCATCGGTCACTCTGACCGCACCCTGCCGGCCAGGTGACCCCTCGAGCTGGGGAGTCGACGCACGAAGGTCCGGTGTTTTTTCTCTCTCTCTGGACCTCAACGAACTCTTATCTGGACCTTTGTGGTTCTACCTGGTTCCAACAAATATCGCCGGGTGGTATTTTGCTGGTTTTCAGCTGGACTGGCCCTCGTGGTGTCTCCATAGGTGTGGGGGAAGTGTACCCGTGTCCCTCGAATTGGACCAGAACCGAACCGAGGTGGCTGTGGGGGATTTTGTCTTCAACAGAGCCGGTCTAGGCTTCAGTGAGCAGCCCGTTACTTTTAACGAAAGACTGTCCACCTCCGTGGAATCGTTGTGTTCACCTGGAGGAGACGCTCCGGTGCTTTGAAGCGCCGCCGGACCGGAGCAGAACCGGGCCAGGGACATCTTCAGCCTCTTCGTCTCTCGTGCTTGGAGCGCCGGAGCCGAACTGGAGCAGAACCGGACCGGAACAGTTGCCGACTTCAGCCTCAGCCTCTCCGGTCAGTCTCGCTTTTCACCGGGGGTGCCCCGTGCTGTCGGGTGCTGAGAAGCGGAGGAGCAGCGTGGAGGAGCAGCGTGAAGGAGCGGGTCTGCGTGGTGCTCGAGTGAAGTTCGGAGTTTGTATCGGAGTTGCTGCAGGCCTCCATCCAAAATCACCTGGATAATAATTAATTTTATTCCGGATCACGCTGTTGGCCCC